CGTGCGCGGCCGCACGTCGCGCCGGCCCCGCGCTAATCCCCGCCGGCCGCGGGATTAGCGCTGCCGCCCGCTGCGCGCCACACTAATCTGCACGGCGGCACGGGCGCTGCCAGCCCCTCGGCCGCCCCTGCCGCCTGCGCGAGCTGGGCATGTCTGGGCACTAATCTGGATAAACCCTCGGTGCCGGCGCTGCCAAGGCGGTGGGGAGCCCCGTGGCCCCGCGTGGGGTGGCCCCGTGCTGGGACGTGCACGTGGCGGGTCCTGGAACACGCGGAGGTGCTGCCAGGGGGCTGAGTGAGCCGGGGGTGGCCCTGCACCCGCGACTGCAGCGGGTGGCTGGGCCCGTGGGAGGGGTCGCTGTGCTGGGGTGGCCTTGGGTGAGTGCCCGTGGGGTGATGCTGTGGCCATGACGCCACTCTGGTGGCTGGTCCCATGGGAAGGTGCTCTGGCCATGATGCCATGGTGTTGGCTGTTCCCATGGGAGGTGGCAGCGCGATGGAGTGGCCCTGGATGAGTGGCCATGGCGTGGTGCTGTGGCCATGACGCCACTGTGGTGGCTGGTTCCATGATGGGAAGGTGCTCTGGCCATGACACCACGGTGATGGCTGGTCCCATTGGAGGTATCACTGTGGTGGGGTGGCCCTGGGTGAGTGACCATGGGCTGGTGCTTTGGGCATGATGCCATGGTGATGGCTGGTCCCACGGGAGGTGGCAGCGTGGCGGGGTGGCCGCAGGTCAGGGTGCGGACAGGGGATAACTGCAGGTGAGTGGTCAGCACCATGGGGCGGCGCTGGGTGCGGCGGCACCCGAGGGCGACGCTGGGGCTGCGGTGCTGGGTGGCAGCGGGTTCCGTGGATGGTGCTGTGTCCAGGACACCATGGTGGCATCTGGTCCTATGGGATGGTGCAATGGCCGTGACACCCAAGGGTGGTGCTGGGGCTGCGGTGCTGGGTGGCAGCGGGTCCCATGGATGGTGCAATGGCCGTGACACCCAAGGGTGGTGCTGGGGCTGCAGTGCCAGGGGGCAGCGGGTGCCGTGTGGGGGGTCACCGTGGTGGGTGTCTTCCCACCGAGCCGGGCTCTTCCCCCCGCAGGACTCGCTCAACAACAACGGCGGCTACGCGCCGGGCGCGCCGGCGCTGCGCTCCTCGTGGCAGGACGCGCTGCT